TAGTCATCAAAAACCTTACTCAGGAGAAAGACCCTACAAGTATCTGAGACATGGCAAAAGCTTTGGTCCTAACTCTCACCTTATGAATCAGATATCCCATCAAGTGGAAAATCCATATAAATGTGCCGATTGTGGAAAAAGCTTCAGTCGGAGTGCTCGCCTCATTAGACACCGGAGAATCCATACTGGAGAAAAACCTTATAAGTGTCTTGATTGTGGGAAAAGTTTCCGTGACAGCTCAAATTTCATCACCCACAGGCGGATCCACACAGGAGAGAAACCATATCAGTGTGGTGAGTGTGGAAAACGTTTCAATCAAAGCTCAAGTCTTATAATTCACCAGAGAACCCACATAGGAGAAAAGCCCTATCAATGTGAAGAATGTGGAAAAAGCTTCAATAACAGTTCTCATTTCAGTGCACATCGGAGGATCCACACTGGAGAGAAACCCCATGTATGTACCGACTGTGGAAAGAGTTTCAGTAAGAGTTCTGATTTACGTGCCCATCATAGAACCCACACAGGCGAGAAACCTTATGGGTGTCATGATTGTGGCAAGTGCTTCAGTAAAAGCTCTGTTCTGAATAAGCACCGAGAAATTCATACACGAGAAAAGCTGCTTTCACAATCAGCAACCAAGTAAGCCCTTGAGGCTCTTTAAAGAAAAGAGCTTCAATAAATATATGTCTGGAAGTCTAAGAGATGTATCTCCTATGCTGTGTCTAACAAGCATTAGTAAAATCTTTAGGATGTACCCCACTGTTAGTTTCTGTTTCTTCTGGATCTAAACTTAAGTTTACAAGGCAGTCTTAAGAAGGAAAGGAAGACTTCAGTCCTTTTTTTGGGTCTACATCTGAATGGATAGTGCCTATGTTTTTCCCTTAACAGAGAAGACATTTTTGTCAATCCCATGAGCTTGCTATGTACTCTTTCCAATAATTCAGCCGTATACGGAATAGAAAAACCTATTACCTGAATTTTATTGAGTGGGCATATTTTTAATAATGTAAATGTACAACAGTGAATCTTCCTGTTCACTTCAGTCTTTGCTCAGAATAATATGTGTTGTTGCAAACATTTTGTGTGTGTGGGGGGGGGCTGATGGCTCATATCTGGCGGTGCTCAGGGCTTATTCCTGGCTCTTCACTCAGGGATCACTCCTGGCAGATTCAGGGGATCATATGGTATGCAGGGATTGAGCCTGGGTTTGCCGCATGCAAGGCAAGCACCTTATCCACTATAACATCACTCTGGCTCCCACTGCAAACTTTTAATTTACTGTAAAAGAGAGCTTAAATGTCTGTCTTGTTTCTAATCTGTGGACATCTCATCCAGAACCTAGGTATATACTATGAGAAAACCATGTAAACTAGGTTTAAACTAGGTTTATATGGTTTTGAGGTATGAACCTGAATTTCTTAGTTTCTTCCAAACCTGGAGATTGGGAGTATACAACTACACTTATAGCATCTAGTTTAATTTTCTTAGGTGTTTTTCTTTTTCTAAAAGGGGTGGGGTTGGGGGCTACTCCTGATTCTGTGCTTGGGGGAAACATATGGTGTCAGAAATTGAATCAGGCCATATGCAAAGCAAGCATCTTAACCTCTGTACTGGCTCTCCAGCCTCTTAAATTTTCTTTTCTTTTCTTTTTTTGACTGTCTTATCTCAGTTTTATCTGTCTTTTATGGGCCAGAAGCCCAGATAATAAGCCAGCTGAATACATTGACAGGGAAAGCACCTAGAGCTCTAAAAAAGAAGAAATCCATACACTCCAAAGTCAAGTATTATTCACCTTGTATAGTGTTATGCAGTAGGCACTTAATATTAACCTAAAGTGAGCAAATGCTACTGCCACATCCCAGTAAACTGGGGAAACATTACATTGTGCCAATAATTCTTTACCTTAATGGCAAAGAGGACAACATATATTCAGTTCAGTGAAATTGCCAATACCCATGTATACATTGCACATACTCAACTTTATACATCCATTTTATTTTACACACACACACACATATATATATATATATACATATATATTTCTTTTTAGATCACACCCGCGATGCTCAGGGGTTACTCCTGGCTCTGCACTCAGGAATTACTCCTGGTGGTGCTCAGGGGACCATATGGGATGCTGGGAATCGAACCTGGGTCGGCCGTGTGCAAGGCAAATGCCCTACCTGCTGTGCTACCACTCTAGCCCTTTTATAATTTTTATCTGTTTTGGCCACAGCAATGCTTAGAGGTATCTCCTGGGTCTGCACTCAAGAATCATTCCTGGTGGTGCTCAGGGGACCATATGGGATGCCAGGGATTGGACCCGGGTCAGCTGCATGCAACGCAAGTGCCCTACCCACTGTACTGTCTCTCTGTCCCTAAATACATCTATTTTAAAAGCATCTACTCAAATACATTCTGAACTTTATAATCAAGTATTATTGAATTAATTATAGCAATAATTGTTTCTAGTACTGTGATAAGCCCTGTATAGCACAAGTTAAACTGTCCTATCTCTATAAAACAGATGGCACAGATGTGGACAAATTAAAAATGCACATGTATAGTTGCAACAGTTTTAGAAAAATCTAGCAAACACGGTTGTAAGATGATAAATTGTTAAGGTATATTAGAATTTGCTAAAAGAAAAAACTTGGTGAAACAGGATGGGTTCAAAGGAGGGAAGGTTAAGAAATATTCAGTTTTAGAAAGTTCTTATCCCCTTAAGTGCATAAGAAATACGGAAAAGTAGATACGAAGTGTTTTTTTGAGATGAAACAAAGGGTAAAAAATAGACTATGTAATGAAAATTAAATAAATTTTAATCTTCCCCAGTGCTGGTTGGGGAAAACTGAGCAATTTAAGGAGTCTAGCTTATATGAGATACAAAAGCCAGAAACTAGTATCTTGTAAAAAAGATACTTTGAAGGGTAGGCCAGAGGAAAGGTAAATATGAGAAAACAACCAAGGCTAGGATTTGATATTTATATTTAATTAGAGTCCTGTGGCTAGAGTGAGATGTAGGAAAGTAGTGGGGAGAGAGAATATTCTATGATGTTGGATGAGAAGTTAATTAGGGTTCTAGTGCTAAAGAGTCCTAGTACAAAGAATCTCCTAACAGCAGAAATTGTGGAGAGTTGATATCTCAATTATTTTGCCTAAGCAGATAGGAACACCAATCTAAAACAATGCCTTAAGATGGTTTAGGAAGGATGCTATATTTTTCCATAATGAGAAATTATTGTTTTTATGTATAATTTTTCAGTTAAAGCATTGGTTGGGATACTAAACAGACATTATGTTTTATTCTTGCAATCAGTTCCATTTCTGTTTAGCTCAATAATGTTTATACCTTAATCTGCTTCTCAGGGATACTATATTAATAAAAAAATGTCTATAAAGTTGTATTTCTTCCTGTTTCTTTGGGGAGGGACAATTTACTGTATTCTTTTTTGAATCTTTGTATTCTAGCAGAGAAAAAATACTTGAATGAGGTGAGAAATTAAAATGAAAATCCTTTCTTGATATTTGCATCTTTACTAGAACAATCCATTAGAATGCATTACAATTTGGCACAGAGAGTGAGTCTTATTTATTTGATGGGGGGGTCCCACATGTGATTTCAGCCAAATGGGCTGGTGGTTCAATGCAAGGGCCTGAGGATATGATACTGCTGAGACCCTGAGGTACTGGGGATATGTAGGCCACCTGAGGGGCCTTCAGGGCTACACCTGCAATGCTTGGGGGGACCATATGGTGCCAGTAATCAAATCTAACCATTGTACTATCTCCTGGCTCCTGAATTTTACTTTTAACCAGGATCAGCTCCAACAGCCAGATAAAGAAGAACAGTACAAAGGGAAATTCCTAGAGAGGTAGGGAAAATTTTTTTCTACCAAGAACTATTTGGATATTTATATCACCATTCATCAACCATTCACTACGAGCAGACAGGCTACAAAGGGCAGCCAATGAGAAGCATACATATCTGCCTCATTATGTCCCAGGGCCCAACCACATGATTTCTCAGGCCTTATATGTTCCCTGTCCCTGTAAAAACAGTTTATCTCAAACTAGCTCACAAACCATTACTTATCAGCAAGTCTGTCCAGTCTTGATGACAGAAGCAAAACAACAGTCTTCAATAGTTCTTAAAAAAGAGAAACCAAGTCCATTGACTGTATTCTTAGAGAACTCTTAAGGCCTCAGATTAGGTTGCATGTGCAGCAAGAGAATGTATTAGCAGGAGCTAGATAGTCAATATTCTTATCAGTTGTAATATGTTCTCATTGTTGCTGCCACTTCTTTTACTATAATTTGCCTTGTCAAATCTTCAAACATTATTTCTATGATGACAAATGACCTGGCACCCGAGCTGTGCAGGAGGAAGAGAGCGGCTTGGAACGCCTTCAAGAACGTCGAAGAAATAGCTAAGAGGACGAAGAACCTCCGGCTCCGGGCACATCTCTTTGATTCCACTGTTCTTCCTGCATTAACATATGCCTCAGAGACCTGGGCCCTACGCAAACAAGATGAGAACGCTATTCAGGTCTCCCAAAGAAGAATAGAAAGAGCTATGCTTGGAATATCACGTTTCACTCAAATGAGAGAAAGAATCCGGAGTTCTGACATCCATCGATGATCAAGAATCAGGGACGCTGTCTCATTTGCCAAGGTGTCGAAAATCAGATGGGCTGGTCACGTAATGAGATTTAAAGACGACCGCTGGACTAGAGCTGTTACTGACTGGATTCCACGGGATGTCAAAAGACCGCGTGGCCGCCCACCTACCAGATGGTCAGACTTCTTCGTCAAGATCATGAACGATTGGTTTGAGGCCCTTCATGTTCCCGGAGAGAACAGATGCCATTGGGCTACACTAGCACGCGGCAGGGACAAATGGAGACGTTACTGGCGCCCGCTCGAGCAAATCCACGACTAACGGGAAGTTAAGTGATTAAGTGATTAAGTGACCAGATAGGGAAGAAAAGAGAAGTTTAGGATGGGATAATTTTTTGCTTTATTATATAATTCAAAATCTAATATGAAAACTTTACTCCTATAGATTCATATAGCTATCTAGTGACATTCAGATCTCAAAAGTTTGTTCTTGTTTTTTGGGCCACACCCAAAGTTTATTAACCCTCACTGCTATGGGTCATTTAAAAAAAAGGCAATCTATGTAATACAGTCTACTATACATACAATATATGTAATGTATCTGCACTATATATGTAATACTGTATCTGTAATATAGCCTGAGGAAAACAGTTTTGGAGAACACTTAAATGAGGGGAGTCTGAAAGAACACAATGAACTATAGGAATGTCACAAATTAGAAGGCTTCCAAGTTCTGTCTTTCCCTATTTTCCCCAACTTATCTGAGATTGTAATTCTAAAACTTTTTTTGGTGAAAAACTAATTTTTTTTCTAAATCAAATGGATGGGACTGTTATGTCAAAATCACCAGTGAACAGGAGTTTGGTTATCAGAAACATTCTGACTTTCAGTTAGCAGCAAGAGGTGAGCTATGTAAAATTTCTGAGCGCACTAGTCAATTTAAGACATAACTACCAAGCAATCTCTATGAGCAAGTGCTGGTGATGGAGCTCAAGGTACTTGCCTTCTCTTTCAAAGGGAATACTGCATGACTTACTAAATGGAATATGGGAGGAAGATCCTGGTACAAGTTAAAAATGTAACACTTTGGGCTTCAGGTGATTCCACTTCTTCCTCAGTTCAGACTTGGTGCCATCAGAAGCAAAGATGTAGTTGATGGACTCATAAGACAAATCCCACAACTGGGGCTGCGTCAAATGAAATGTTTCAGCTGCCAGCTTGTATTCTTGAGAAAGATTTGTTGCAAAAACACCCTTATCATCGGTCTGTCAATATAAGCAAGAGCATTTGAAAATGACAAAGGAAATTATTAAAAATGTCTTTTTGTTTATAATTGATTTTTCAATTTGTCAAACTTCTTTAAACAGTCTAAGCAGAGGTCTAAAAATCATTTATACAGGTCTATAAACAGACTTATTTATCCTTTAAAAAAAATTGAAAAAACAAGGCTGGGAAGAGAGACTGAAGTGCATGCTTTACATAAGGGAACTCTGGGGGAGGGGGCAAGGGGGCTGGAGCGACAGCACAGTGGGTAGGGTGTCTGTCTTTCACATGGCTGACCCGGGTTTGATTCCCAGCATCCCATATAGTCCCCTGAGCACCACCAGGAGTAATTACTGGGCGCAGAGCCAGGAGTAACCCCTGTGCATTATTGGATATGACCCAAAAAGCAAAAAAAAAGGAACTCTGGGTTTAACTCCCTGCACTGCCTGGCTCCCTGAGTACTGTCAGGACCAGTCCCCAAAGACAGGCCAAGAGTAGTTCTGCCAAATGTAGCACCCGCCAAACCAAAGCACAAACGCAAAAGCTCCTCAACCATGGCTACATATTCAAATTATTTAGGGAGGTTTTAATACATATCAGGTGGCCCTGGACCTGATATGTCTGCATGGACCCCAAGCAGTACTGGGTAATACCTAGCACTGCTAAGTCTAAGCAGCAGTGTGCTGCTGGACCCAAGCACTGAAGTGCCTGGCTTGGTCAGCTCCCGGGCCTCTTGAGCACTGTTTGGGAGGTTCAAAAGAAGAATAAACATACCATGCCAAGGATTCACTTGAGGTAAAATAAAAGTCCAGTATTAAAGGATGAGTGCTAGGCAGATTTTTGTTTTGTTTGTTTGAAATTTCAGTAAGTACATTTAAACAGTGTTTCCCCCAGTGAGCAATAATGCTTCTTTGGGAGATGCTGGAATAATCCAGTGAGTGGTAATGGTAGATTTCAGAGAGGTACTGAATAACTTGTTTTTCTGGAAAGGGATGGTAGGCCAAATGAAACTTTTTCTCATAGAGCTGAGTCTTTCGTTCTGGTCCTTTGCATCCTCTTTTGCCCCAAATCCCTTTTTACACCTCTGCTTGGGAATGACACCTCTATTTGGGAATGACACTAAGGCATGCAAGGCAGTCAGTTCCCTAGTGAACCTCTGATTTAATGTAACTTGGGGACTGAAAAGAGCAAATATTTCACACTTACACAGATCACAGAAGGATGGCCAATGCTGTACCAGAATCCAAAATGATGCTGGTCATAAGATGGAACTGTCTGACTTTTAATGTTTGAGGTCAAACAGAGTTCTAGATTGAAAGAGGAAAAAGTACTCAGTGGATTCACATAGTGTTTACCAGGCAGATATATAAAAATTCATCTGAAAGAAATTTTCCCAAACTATACTAATTTCCTGTAGTTCATTATTTTACAAAATTGACCTTTTTTTGTTGTGTGACTTGCAATTAGTGAAACTGTGCAGAAAATGTACGTGAATTTCTAGCAGCAACTGACCCAGACAGAGAAGAATTAACATCTCCTTCGTAGCCGTGTGCTTCTTTCTTAGCAAAATGGAAAGGAAAGGAGAGTGTAATAAGCTAGTCACTGTAAAGAAGCAGAGAACTGTGTCAGAAGAACAAAAGAAATTTTTGAAGGGGTGTTTCTTGGTCTTACATTGGAGGCTAAAATAAAAACAGGAAAACAGCAGGACTACCTGAGAGTTACGGTATTAGAAGCAATCATAAGCAAAAATGGGCTATTTACATGGCTTAGAGAAAACATTAAAACTCTTTCAGTCATCATCTATTACTGATAAGCCCATCTTAAGAAGGATGGCAGCATTAACAAATTTCTGTTCATTTCTGATGGAGAGTGCCTTACCATCACTCTCAAGCTGAGTAAAGTGTGACTGATGGTATTGGCTGACTTGGGTGAGGCTGCCTCAACACAAGGTCACTCAGTCCAAAGAGATGAAAACCCCGCCTGCCCCTTCCCTCTGCTGGGCCACTATGCACTGTAGCACTGTCCTCCCACAGTTCATCCATTTGCTGAAGTGGGCACCATTGTGAGACTTGTTACTGTTTTTGGCATACCGAATACTCCACAGGGAGTTTGCAGAAACTGCCGTGCAAGCGGGATACTCTTGGTAGCTTGCCGGGCTCTCCGAGAGGGACGCAGGAATCGAACTTGGATTGGCCACATGCAAGGCAAATACCCTACCTGTTGTTCTATACCAAGTAAAATTCCTATGCACGTGGTTTCCATTTTCTCTATTTGTATGGATATTTAAAAATGTTCTTATTGGGGGCCAGAGCAATAGCATAGCGCGTAGGGCATTTACCTTGCACGCAGCTGACCTGGGTTCGATCCCCGGCATCCCATATGGTCCCCGAGCACCACCAGGAGTAATTCCTGAGTGCAGAGCCAGGAGTAACCCCTGAGCATCGCCAGGTGTGACACAAGTAGCAAAAAAAAAAAAAAAAACCTCTTTAGTAATGGTGGTGGGAAATGTACACTGGTGAAGGGAAAGGTGTTAGAACATTGTATGACTGAAACCGAATCATAAACAGCTTTGTAACTATGTATACCTCACTGTGATTTAATAAAAAAAATATATATGTATATGTATATAAACTAAGAATCTCCCCTATCCCCCCAAAAAATGTCCTTAGTTAAAGAAATAAACATCATTCATTAGGAATTGCTAAAAACTCCATAGTTTTTAGCAATATAAGAAATTTAGCAATTTTTATAATGAGTTATAAAAAACACATACCTGCATGAGTATTTTGACAAATTGGTAAATTAAATCTTTTTTGGGGGGAGGGGTTGGGGTTGGGGGTGGGGGGTGCACTCTGAGCAATGTTCGGGGTTACTTCTGGCTCTGCACTCTGAAATTACGCCTGGTTGTGCATTGGGATGCTGAGTATTGAATCTGGATCAGCCACATGCAAAACAAGCGCCTTACCTGGTGTACTATTGCTCCAGCCCCTCTAATTTGTTAATTCCACCCATTTGGTAGACTGAGTTTTAGCCAGGCACTTCTCTCCCTCTCCAGAAACGCTTTCCCTGTCTGTCTAGTCGAAAGTGATCAAAACACAATTATATCTGTCCTTTATATTTTCTTCAAAGTCCCTAATGCTTCTCATCTTACATAATTGTTTATGATCTTCCTTATCTGTATTAAAATACAAGTCCCTTGAAAGAGAAACTCAGTCTGTTTTGTTTTCTGTTGTATTCCCAGCAATTCAATCACTTTAACAGTAACTAAACAGAGTAGGAAATTCATAAATATTTGTTAAATAAAAACAGCTCCAGTATATACCTGGAGAAAATGGAATAATGGTAAAATGACAGATAAAAAGCTACAGGTATTTCTTTCGTTGTTTTGGGACCACACCTGGCAATGCTCAGAGATTACTCCTGTCTCTGAACTCAGGAATTATTCCTGGTAGTGTTCAGGAGACCATGTGGGATGTCAGGAACTGGGGCCAGGGTTGGACATGTGCAAGACAAGTGCCTTCCCTGCTCTATTATCTCTGGCCCTGATATTTTTCTATAATTCTTTTGTGTGTGAGTTTGTGTGTGGAGGGGGTGTTACACCCAGTGGTGGTCAGGGGTCTCTCCTGTCTCTGTACTCAGGAACCACTCCCGGCAAGCTCTGGCAATCATATGGGATGTGGGGGATCAAACTCGGGTAGGTTACGTGCAAAACAAGCACTCTACTTACTGTACAATCACTGTGGCCCTATAATTCTTAACTGTTACATGAAGATCATACATTTTGTAATGCTGATCTCGTTTAAGTCATTCAAAATACAAGATTACCCTATTCCTTTAATTCCAGGAACTAGGTGAGCAAGAGAGATAAAGACATTAGTGTCACCATCAAATGGAAACTAAAGCTTTGTAACTTAAGTGAGGCTCAGAAAGTACATACAATACGCATTATTTTAATTTCTAAATGGCATCTATCTCTTTAGTATGCTTTATCTGTGGGTTATAAACTGTGGGTAGAGTGGCTGGAGGAGAAAGGGAGAGAGGATTGTCTGGAGGATCTGAAGCCCTGAACCTTACCCAGTGGTATCCGGTGGTGCCTCACAAAGTCTACTAGATGTAGAGAACCTTCATCTGATGAATTGAGGAATGTCCCATGACCAATTCTGTCAGGAAGAAGATCCAGGAGTACTTGTGTTTCTTTTGCTTGATTTGGAATCTCAAAAAGGAAAAATAAGATGATTACTCACTTCTTTCAGTGGTTCTTAAATGTGCTTTTTTCTATAGCAAGGTATTTTGTTCCCTAAAGAAATAATAAAAACCAAAGATCTTATAACTTTTCACAGAAATGCTCCTTTAAACCTCATAAAAATCTTACAAAGTATTAAGGTGAAGAGATTAAAGTCCAGAATAAAAGCAATAAGGAGCCCAAAGAACAGTTTAGAATCATCAGAATTATCCCCTGCATGCAGAGGTCAAGAGTTTAATCCCTGGTGCTGCCACATGTGTCAAATGTGATCCTATCAGCTCCACTGACTGGGATCCCCTGAGTCACAAGTCATTTCTGGCTGCAACACAGGTGTTGGTAAGCACAACACCAAAGAAGTATGACTACAGTGTATGACCCCTGGCAAGAGCATGTGTGAGCACTAGAGTAACCCCAGTGAACACTACAAGTAAGCATATACAGGAGCACCACAACTAAGACTGTGACCCCAGTGAGCATGTGTGCAAACACCACAACTAAAGGACTGTAGCCCTCAAGTGAGCACTGTGGCACAGTATGCCAGCACTGCAATCTGATGTAAGATCCTTGGTGAGCACAGCCTGGTGTGTGCACAACCCCAGTCACAGCAACAAAAGTAATAAAGGAAAGGTGTATGTGTGTGAGGAGATGGCGGGGGGGGGTGTTAAAAATTAATAAAAGTACCACATTTCTTTATATATGTGTGGTTGTATATATGTATTCATACATATATATGTATTCATAATCTAAGAAATAATTCATGAATTTTTAAACATAAAACTATTAATATTAACTATAGGAAGCAGAACTAAATGGGACAGGGATGTTCCATTTAAAAACTTTGTCCTGTACAAGAACTGAGTGTTGAAAGCAGGTAAAGGAACATAATGATAACCTTTCAGCATCTGATTCACAAATGCCTAAAATGAGAGAGATAAAGAGGGAAAAGAGAGGAGCCATAGAGGCATGCTGGGGTGGGGGGTGGCTTGAAGAGGTGGTAGGGAAACTGGGGACACTGGTACTAGAAAATTACACTGGTGGAGGGATGGGTGCTGGAACATTGTGTGACTGAAATGCAATCATGAACAGTTTTGTAATGCTTTATCTCTCACAGTGATTCAGTTAAAAATAAATTTAAAAAAATAAAAACTTTTTCCTGTATACTTCTCTACACTTGGTTTTTCTTCATATATATAGAGAGAAAGAACTTCTGTAGCTAAATGTTTTTTCAAAAATTGTCCAAGATTGGCTTTTAATTACCAAAATGAGATTATCAAACAGTGGGAGAAACGGGGGAGTGGGGAGGGAGAGGTGGAGTAGAGGTGAAGAAAGGATAGTACTGGAAGGTTTCAAGCACTTTGGTGGTAAAGGTATAGTAACTTTGCACATCAAAACCATAAATGTTAACATTATTGTAGTTATATTACCTAAACTTCGATAAAGGGTTTTCAAAACAGTTTATAGAACTTGGGGTAAAGAGATAGTACAGTGGGCAGGGTGCTTGCCTTGCATGCAGCCAACCCGCGTTTGATCCCACAGTCTCCTGAGCACTACCAGGGGTAATCCCTGAGTGTCCTTTCTTGCCAGTACATGTGATATCAGGTCCCTTCTACTAAGAAAAGTCCTTCCTGTGAGAGGAAATGGTATTTTTCTTATTGCAGTTCAACAATGACAAGATGATGGAAATTTATGCAGTTTCTCTAGCAAGAGGTTGTTTAGCTGTTTAAATTTTAAATTATGGGTCTCCCCAGTGGTGAAAGGGGCCACCTGGACTATATTAGCAGTGATCAGGAGGTGACATAGTGCCAGAGACTGAGACCAGCACTCTGTGCATATTAGGCATCCAGTTCTTAAGAGTTTTTTCCCCAGTCCCTTTGTTTAGCTGACATATCTATAAGTCAGCAGTCACTCCCAGGAACCACAAAATATAAAAGCAGGCATAAAAGGCTAACGCAAGCCAAGCCTTTATAACTATATATTTTAAAAGATTCTACTTTTCCCTTCTAGAAAATTTTTTTTCTAGATCAGGTTTATTTTTAGCCATTTACAAAAGATCCTATTATTTCCATTGTAATTTACCCTCCCCAGCCATATTTTACAATTTTTTTTTTTACCTCTGATAGATGCAACGCCAACTTTAAACCCGCTTTTTTAGCTTCCAGAAGAGGTTCTAAGAAGTCTTTTGCTTGTCCTGCCTTGAAAATAAAAGCTAAGTTGAGAATTTTAATTTTTTTGCTGTTTGAGCCACACCCAGCTGTGCTCATTTATTCCTGGCTTAGAGCTTACGGACCACTCCTAATGGTGCTCAGGAGATCATATACAGTGCCAGAGATTAAACCCAAGTGGGAAGCATGCAAGACAAGTACCTTCCTTACCCACTGTACTATCTGATCCAAGGCCAGCTAATCTTTCTTAATTTATGAGATAAGTTATAAGTTATGAGATAACCTGTGAGCTACTATGATACAACATTTGTGTTTTGGAGTTTTTGGAGGGGGTTTTGTGGGGGGGGTGTCATATCTGGCAATGCTCAGGGTTTACTCCTGGCTCTGTGCTCAAAAATCACTCCTGGCAGAACTCAGGTAACCATACTGGATGTCCAGGATTGAACATGGGTCAGCCACATGTAAGGCAAGTGCCCTACTCACTATACTATCACTCAGGGTCCCTTATGAGATAACTCAATCCTAGCCATAAATAAGCATTAATTAAGTATTAGAGTTCCATTGTCTGGAAGGAAAGAATTTTCCTCCTATGAATGTAGAATGATATTACTTGTGAATGATACTCTTTGGAGGGATGAAGAAAATAACAGTCATGCAAATCTTTATTTCTTTTTCAGGGAACTTAATTTTTTTTGTGAAAAACCCTGTCTAAGAGTTGATGCTACATCCTCATTATTAAAAGTAGAACAGAAATTCATCCACAGAGAGGCTCTGCAGGATCTCTCCGGAATGCAGAAGCCCCAAGCTAATCCCCATTCCATAAACAGATTCTACCTTTTAGAAATAAAATTTACTTAGGAAAAATAACTTACAGTAGGTGCACCACTGAGGTCAACACCAAGAACTGTGTCTTCTGCAGAAAGAAAGAACTCCTGTGCAAGTTTAACAGTCTCCTTGGCTACTGTAGAGCCACCTTTTCTATCAATTGCTATCAAATACCTTTCATGTAAAAAAAAAAGAGTGAAAATTAATATGGAACAACAACAAAAAAGAAAATTAATATGGAACAAAAGAAGTAAGTTTTGAGTGAGACCATGGGAACGGAAGGCTACATAAGATGTATCTTCTCAGAAATGTACAACCGTGAAATGCCAAGAGGAAATTACACCAAAGTTACAAGCATCAAATATCAAGTCATTGATCAAATGTCTAAATGTCCCATGTTTTTTTTTTGTTCGTGCATGATTTTTGGCTTGCCTGATTCAGGGTCTATATAAAACTCACACATGGTTTTAAGCAATGTGTTTCTGTTGGTCTATAGCTACTTTCTTCACTCCTCATTCCACACACCCTGTCTATTGGAATTTATTTATTGAAAATCTGGGTCATTTGTCTGTCCTATCAAATTCCCATGGTCAAAATTTTTATGACTGAATTCTACTGCTAGCATGTTCTTTGTCTCTTGTATTTTCAATTATGTGGTAGTTCTATCTAGTTTGGGATTTAACAGAGCATATTCTTTGTTTTGGAGGGCTTCCCCATAGTACTCAGGGAGCATGAGGCCTCTCCCAGCTATACTCAGTTCCAGACCACACAGCTCAATGTACAGTTCAGTGATATGGTGCTGCTTGGGTCCAATGCTGCTGAGGGCAACCCCAGCACTGCTTGGGGGTCAGGTGCGTGAGAGTGCCCCTAACATCACTCCCTTGCCCCCACCCTGCAAAAAAAAAAGATGGTTTCTGACATTTTTATAAAGAATGGCACATGAAAAATAAGTTGGATAACTGGATGACTTGGGGTGATACTTTAGATAAAGTGGTCAAGGCCCTTCTGAGGAGTGATAGCTGAACTGAGATCTGAATAATGAGAGGCAGTTAGCCACACAAGCCTTGGTGGAAGTGTGCTCTGGGCCAGTGCAACAAGAAACATACAAAGCAGAGGTGGGACAGCCTTGAACTTTCTGAGAAACAGCAGGTGGATGTGTAATAAATGAAGAGGAATGGTCCAGAGGAAAACTCTGGATTTTAGCTTAAGGGTATTGAGAAACCATACTTCAATGGAACAATAGTAGTCAAAATTTTATTACCATATGAATAGTTTTTAGGATTGCATTCTCAACTTTAAATAGGTTTGCTGTTTTTCTACTGTAAGATGAAAATAAGTTACTGGTTGATAAATAAAATTACATTACACTATGCTGGAGAGCTAGCTCAATTGGCTGGAGCACATGCTTTGCATATAGGCAACCTGGGTTTGATCCCTAGCAGTACATGATTCCCAGGGCACCAGCAGGAGTGACCCCTAAGCACTGAGTCCCTGAGTACTGCTGGATATATGTGTGTGTGTGTGTGTGTGTGTGTGTGTGTGTGTATGTGCGCACACAGTAAAATTTATATTCTAGGTGGGTTTGGGTTTGTTTGGTTTTGTTTTTGTTTTTGGGTCACAACCAGTGATGCTCAGGGTTTGCCCCAGCTCTGCACTCAAGAATCACTCCTGCTGGTATTCAGGGTACACAGAGATGCCGAAGATTAAACCTAGGTCAACTGTATACAAGGTAAGCGCCTTACCTGCTGCACTATCTCTCTGGGCCACATTCTAGTTGATTAAATGATGGCATCTAAAGTCCAAGTCATCTTACCTAACATCAATGTCCAAGTTTTCGTCTTTGCATTGTTTTATACCCTCAAGTACAGATTCCACGTAAGTCTTTTCAGTCATTCCTAGAAAGCACATGCAGAAAACAAAGACAGAAAGATCATCAATTGTTTCCTCCAACACTGGTATCCCTATATGAAAAAAAAAGCATTTCTATTTCATGTTGTAACAAGAGTATTGTGAAAAAAGAAATTAAATGGATACATTTTAGTGAAATGGCCCTTCTGGATTTTAGTAAAAGTTAGTTGCATTTTAACAAAATTTCAAAGTAAGTAAGTAGAAAAATGAAATGAAAGACATATGAGGTACTTAAAAATTATTTTTATATTCAATAGACAAAAAATTGCACATTGCTATACAATTTTATTTTTTTGCTGATTTTTTTTTGTTTTTTTTGTTTTTTTGTATTTTTTGGTCACAACCAGCGTTGCACAGGGGTTACTCCTAGCTCTGCATTCAGGAATCGCTCCTGGCAGTGCTCAGGGAACCATATGGGATTCTGGGAATTGAACCTGGGTCGGACGTGTGCAAGGCAAACGCCCTACCCACTGTGCTATCACTCCAGCCCAGTGTACAATTTTAGATGCTTGTTGAACAAAATAAGAAAAAGTCCTTTTGTAAGACCTGTCCTTTAAAAAAATATTTTTTTAGCAAAATATTTTTCTGCTGGCTTAGAAAAAATATTTTCCTGGGTCCCCTGCTCCTTATTTCCACTTTGCCTCATTGTTTCCTACCCAGGGCAATAAAAATGTTCTTTCAACTTTGGATGTGCAAGTCCTCCTCTTCTAAAAAGCTGTGAAACAGAACTCTCTAGAACCAGCTTCTCTAAAATACCATTATATCTTTTTTTTTTTTTGGCTTTTTGGGTCACACACAGTGATGCACAGGGGTTATTCCTGTTTCATGCACTCAGCAATTACTCCTGCTGATGCTCAGGGGACCATATGGGATGCTGGGAATTGAACCCAGGTCAGACACACGCAAGGCAAACGCCCTGCCCACTGTGCTATCACTCCAGTCCCAACACACACACACATACACACTTTTTTTTTTTTAAACTTATTTCTACTTTATGGTGAATTCTTGTTCTTTCAGTTTCATCTTTTTTTTTCCCCTTTATTTTTTTTTAAAGTTGTAGATTTACAATTTTTTGTGCTTTGGTTTCAATTATACAGTGATCAGATACCCATCCCTCCACCAGTGCCCATTTTCCACCACCATGGATAATATCCCTCCCACCCCCATCCCCCCATCCCCCCTGTCTCTGTGGCAGGGCAATCCCCTGTGTTCTCTCTCTCCTTTTGGGTGTTGTGGTCTGCAAAAGAGGCATTGAGTGGCAAACATGTTCAGTCCATAGTCTACTTTCGACATGCATCTCCCCTCCTGGGAGGATCCTCCAAACATCCTTTATTTGGTGCTCCCTTCTCTATCTGAATTGCCCTTTCCTCTAGGATACCCGGATGGCCTCTAAGTTATGGAGTAATCCTCCTGGTGCTGATCTCAGCTATTCTTGGGTATTAATCTCATACTTTGTTACTTTATATTCCCCAGATGAATGCAATCTTTCTATGTCTATCCCTCTCTTTCTGACTCATTTCGCTTAGCATGATACTTTCCATATTGTACCACTTGTATGTAAATTTCATGACTTCATCTTTTCTAAGAGCTACATAGTACTCCATTGACACACACACACTTTTTAAAATTATGTTTAAAATTGAAATTTTTTATTATGTTTAAAACTTGAAATACTGTGATTTACAAATTTACTCATAATACAGTTGTTTCACGTATTCAATGTTCCAACACCAATCCCACCACCACCAGTGTGACCTTCCCTCCAGCAATGTCCCCAGTTTCCCACCCACCCCACAAGCTTGTTTGTTGTAGCATGTATCTCACAATGGTGTTACTAAAGTCATTGTCTGAGAATTTACCGAGCTGTTTGATGTTTGATGCTAGTTGAGCCTTCCGTATTGTTTTTGCTCACTGAGCTTAGTGGGTCTCTACATGACTTTCCCATCTAACTTGCTGTGCTCCTATGAGGCTGTCAATATTTTGAAATTAGGAGGTGTTGCACGACCATGTATGTGGTTGCACATTACAGTAGCTGTGGGATGGGGACAATTCAGCAGCTTGGCATCTTTTTAGAGATTAGATATGGATCTGTGAAGCTCGGCCATTTTTTATGCCAGAGGACGTAGAGACACACACTTTTTTAAATAGATAAGATGCTATTAGGTATATGTGTATGCTGTTAAATGCATAACTATGACTCTGAGCATATGTCCCATTAATAAAGTTTCTCTGAAAATATTTTTAATAGTTGCCTAATATTCCATTAACCATTATTTAACCATTCCCTTGTTTCCTACATAGGTTATCATTACTCCCCTTATAAATATAGGAGCTACATCCGTGTGTGTGTGTGTGTGTGTGTGTGTGTGTGTGTGTGTGTGTGTGTGTGTGAAGTTGGGGTAATAACCTTGTGATGCTCAGAAATGTGGGCCTATGGTTCTAGAGATCCAACTCAGCACCTTGAAATTGCAAGACTTATTATCACCCTTTGAATCTCCTTTTGAAGAGCACACTAAGTCTAATAATGGACAGGTTTTTTTCCTCTGCTTTCCTTTCATACTCCTAACCAGCATTACTTGAAATTGTCTTCAGTTTCAAAATGGGAGGTACAAATCTTCTGCTTTTGGGTTTGTAATATGGCACAAAAGATTGGAATACATGCTGTGTATGCAGGAGCCTGGGGTTTAATCCTCTGCATGCCCCACCACCACCCACAACCCCTGAGTACCCAGCCAGATGTGACCCAAAAAAATAAAACAGAAAAGAATATTCTACTAGTCCCACTTTTCTATATGTAGCTTCAAAATTTTTATCCCTGAACAATTACTGGGAAACAATGTAAGGAAGACAAGCTAAACACGGTATGACTTTTTCTGATCATACACAAGGTGCTAAGAGGGACCAAATGATACTCTATGGTATCTCCTGATTCAGCTCTTCTGGGAAAGAGGGTCCCAAACTTTATCCAGATTTGCTCCTCTTCAGAGAGGTTTTATCATATCATAGCTTGTTGCTGATTTAAGAAATTTAGAATCTCTGAGGAGTGAATTGCCTAACTTTTAGTGATTGTCATAAAATAAAATTCTTTATTTAATGACCCATGTTACAAGAGCTCTGATGCTCTTCAAGTTAGACTTTTAAAGACAATGCACCTGTAAGTAGTCAAATTTCCTTTTCTTGGAGTAAGAACAAGAACTAAGGAATTGGGGAGGGGGTTTGGGGGGGTTGTGAAACACCTTTTGGTGCTCAAGGCTTATTCCTGGTTCTATGCCAGGAATCACTCCTTGAAGGCTTGGGAACCATAGGGAGTGTCAGAGGTTGAACCTGGGCCAACTGCCTATAAGGCAAGCACTCTATCTACTTCAGCCCAAGAACAATGGAATTTTTTGCAGGATTTTTAATTCCCCCTAAACAGATAATACCTGATCTGACTTTTTTTGGGGGGGAACCACACCCAGCTGTGCTCAGGGCTCACTCCTGGAGGAACAATATGTGGTACCAAGGATCAAACCTGGGTCAGCTGCATGCAAGGCAAGCACCGTACCCACTGCATTATCTCTTCGGCTCCTTGACCTGTTTTTTTAACTTACAAATAACCCTCTCACTAATAATTCACATCATTAATTCACAACAGAAGATTTGGAGGTGGCTCTAACTTTATAATGATGTAAAAGAAAAAAAAACTTCATCTTTTCCATTTGAAATACATAAATGACAAAAGTACATGAGGAAAGTACAGTACATTTTCTGAGAAGCTAATTAAAGTCTACCTGTAGAATTTTCTCTTCTGGGTGTGCTCCTGAGTTCCAGGTACTTGACACCATCATCTGAAAATTCTTTAATGACATCTTTTGTGACCTGATGATAAAAACAGTGTATACTAATACTAACACTGATATTAGTATAATGGTACAATGAATATGCCAAGTGCTAAAGTTTTATTTTATGCATTAAATTTATTTTCAGGGAAAACTGAAAGTCTTTCATATGGTTAAGATAACCCATTCTCACACCCTTGAGGACCAAGAGAGAATGACGGCATATCCAGTAGTTCCCAACACCCCCTGAATGCCACTTATATTCAAATCTGTAAATCAGCCACTCCTTTTGTTACTTTCCCTCATTTTTATCCATCTTAACCATTTCTCTATTGCCTGGTGATCATAACGGCAGACTGAAAATACAAAGAAATGAAGCAAAACTAAAACCCCGTCAAAACCATTGTGTAGTATTAGAAAAGTAAATCTGGATATAAACAACTAAAATAACAAAGCATTACTGAGGTACCATTCAAAGTTATGGCTTAAATTACTTCAGAATAAATAGCATTTCCCAAAAGTACTTAGAAAATTCCTTTTGAGAACCATATGTGCACAAGAGCTGGCCTTATACAAGGCAAGAACTATAAAGCCTGTACTAGTTCTGTGGTCCTTCCTTGTTTTGTCAGTTCTAAGGGGCTACATAATATCAGGTATCAAACTTAGAGTTTCATACTTGCTAGACATATTCTTTACTCCTCAAGCTATCCTCCCATTACCAAAGATGACATTCTTATTTACATTTAAATTATTATTGTAGTTTAGGTATATGATTGCCACAGTGTTAATGCATATGGTTTTGATATAGTTACTGTACCTTCACCGCCACCACCCACATGCCCAAGACTCTCCCCCACTGTCCTTACATTTCTTCTAGTCCTCTTCCACCTTCTCCTCCTTCCCCCACTGTTTGGTAATCTGAGTTTGTAATTCAAGCCAAGGGATTGTCATCATTCAACACTGTCTAGTCCCTTGTCTTATCACAGAGAAGTGAGATCACACAGTATTTGGCTTCTCATTCAGATTTATTTCACTTAACACAACTACCTTCAAGATCCATCCAGCTTGCAAAAAGTGCAAGATTTCATCTTTTCTTATAGCTGCACAGTATTCCATTGTGTGTATAACCTACAACTTGTTGGTTTTTTGGGGGGGGACCACACCTGACAGTGCTCGGGGCATACTGCTGGCTCTGTACTCAGGGATTACTCCTGGTGGTGCCATGGGGACTATATGTAGTGCCTGGAATTGAACTTCAGTCAGCAGCATGCAAGGCAAATGTCTTACCTGCTATACTATCATAACTCTTCCCACACTACCCCAATCCAACTTCTTAATACTTCATCAGCAAAGAAAATACTTTAAAATGTCATCCTGTCATTCTAAGTACTTAGAATTTTCTAAGTACTTTTGGGAAATGTCATAGTGACACGCAAGGTCCAGGGCTTGGCCAACAGTGCCAAATAAATAATAAAAATAAAATGCCATTATGATCAATGATACAGAAGGTAGCCTGACATATTAGCCTCTATAGGGAACATCATTTAGAGAATACAATTGTATCCTCTAGCGCTTAATCACCAGAAGAAAAGCACAATCTCCTTGACCATTCAATCTTTAAATATTTCTTGAGATTTTTACATTTTTTACATTCTTTGCCATAGGGCTGGAGCGATAGCACAGCGGTAGGGCGTTTGCCTTGCACGCAGCCAACATGGCCGACCCGAGTTCGATTCCTCCGCCCCTCTCGGAGAGTCCGACAAGCTACCGAGAGTATCTCGCCCGCACGGCAGAGCCTGGCAAGCTCCCCGTGACATATTCGATATGCCAAACACAGTAACAACAAAGTCTCCAATGGAGACGTTACTGGCCCGCTCGAGCAAATCGATGATCAACGGGAGGACCTTTACTTTACTTTACTTTACATTCTTTTGGGGGGGCTACACCAAATGATACTTGGGTGGCTACTCCCACCTTTGTGTTCAAGGGTTGTTCCCTGTGGTGCTTGATGGATCATGTGTTACAAAAATCAAACCCAAGCCTCTTGCATGCAAAGCACATGCTCATCCCATTGAGCTATCTCTTTGTCCCTCTTCATACCTTTTAACTTCCACCTAAGTAGTTAACTGTTTCTCAAAGAATACTGATAATGCCTTTTAAAAGACATGTGCCTGGGAAGGGGGGCGTTCCTGGCTCATCCTTCACACCCTACCGAGATCACGAGTACCCCCCATGAGTGGCTCTCTGGCAAGGCCATGGCTCCAGGAGCACAGGGACTTAATGCAGAGCCAGGCAGCTTGCGGCAGGAAAGTGAATGGACTATGCGTTAATCCACATTAATCCATGCCACCATGCCTGCCCGGAGGGGAAAGGGTGTTGCTCCCTTCTGCCTTTTTCCCTCTGGAAAGAAAGATGGCAGCCACTTTGGAGCCTGATGGAAAACCAGGTATGAGCCGGTCGTGATGGGGCGACTGAAACCTCATGGGAAGGGGGGCGTTCCTGGCTCGTCCTTCACGCCCTACCAAGGTCACGAGTTGTCCTCTACGAGTCGCTCTCCAGCACGGCCATGGCTCCAGGGCACAGAAACCAATCTCATAGTTATCTGACTCTCAGCAGAAATACTTTCAGGCTTAATAAGCAAAATACCAGAAATCCAAAATCACGCGCAACATCATTTGATTCTTGTAACCAGCTGTAAAAAACAAATTATTTCACAATGCCTTTTCAGCATGTCTGATTTGGGGGTGTAAACTCTAGATATAAAGGTGCATCTTTTGTCAAAACAATGAATCTAATCAAAGTAGATAGAGTGTTAACTAGAATTCATCTGCTTCACAGGCATTAGGAGGGTTGGGGGGGGGGGTTATTGGGGTTCTTGGTGGTGAAAAATAAGTATTGGTCAAGGGAAATGTGTTTGATAATTGCATGACCAAGACTTAAACCTGAAAGCTTTGTAACTTTTCCCACAGTGATTCAATAAATAAATTAATTAATTAAAAAAAATAAAAATAAAAGACATGTGCCTCTGTGGTTAAACACTTCTTTCTTTCTTTCCTTTTTTTTTTTTTTTTTTTTGCTTTGGGGTCACACTCAATGGTACTCAGGCTTACTCCTAGCTCTGCATCCAGGGAGCACTCCTATTGGGGCTGGAGGACTATATGAGGAGGCTGGGATTGAACCCAAATCAGTCATAAGAGGCTGGGATTGAACCCAAGTCAGTCACAAGTGCTTTCTGCACTACAGCTCCAACCCTGATTGAAATTTTATATAACAAGTTTCATGTGGAAGGCTAGACCAGATTTTCTTCACCTTATCATCTTCTAATAGCAGATAAGCTTAGTTTCTTCAAACCTTTTTTTTAAACTTTTTTAAATTGAATCACTGTCAGATATACCCTTACAAAGCTTTTCATGGCTGGATTTCAGTCATACAGTACATCAACACCCATCCTCCACCAGTGTACATTTCCTAGCACCAGTGTCCCCAGATTCCCTCCCATCACCCCCCCACTCCCCTCTATGGCAGGCACGTTTCTTGGTTCTTCATATCTTTTTACAATGAGTGTAGCCTTTTGATAACAGCTGTTTGGTAAATGTCTTACTTTGCTTTTGTAGAGAATTGCTATAAAAAAGGAAACACCGAGGCTAAAGAGACAATACAAAGGTTAAGGTACTTACCTGGTATGAGCCTGTGGCTGCAACCCTAATTCAAATTCTGGTACCACATATACTCCCTTGACTACTGCCAGGTATGACCCCTGAGCACAAAGTCAGATGTAGTGCCCTGTCTCTTCCCCTCCTCTGCAAAAGAAAACATTTTTCACCAGAATCTTTTTGATGGGGAGAGTATTGAGCCACAGTTAGTGGTTCTCAGGGACTACTCCAGACTCAGCTTGGTGCAGTGCCGGGGGGGGGGGGGGGGGGGGGGGAGGTGGAGAGGGGAGCATATCTGGGTTTCTTCATTCACAGCATGTGCGCCAGCTCATTGAGCTATCTTATGGGCCCTAACCAGGTTTTTTTAGTTCTGTTTTTTGTTTTTAGACCACACCTGGCAATATTTAGGGGTTACTCCTAGGTCTACACTCAAGAATTACTCCTGGCAGTGCTCAGGGGACCATATAGGATGCCAGAGATTGACCCCGGATTGGCTATATGCTAGGCAAGCACCCTACCTGCTCCAGCCCCCCTCATCATATTTTTAATGAAAGCAATAGGTCATGCAGAAGCACAACAACACAAATGGCATAAATTAATAATTTTTTTTTCTTTTTGGGTCACACCCGGCAATGCACAGGGGTTACTCCTGGCTCTGCACTCAGGAATTACCCCTGGCAGTGCTCAGGGGACCATATGGGATGCTGGGAATCGAACCCGGGTCAGCCGTGTGCAAGGCAAACACCCTACCTGCTGTGCTATCACTCCAGCCCTAAATTAATAATTTTTAAACCAGTCTAAAAATTGAATCATTTCTCACCAATAGAATATCTTCAGGGCTAGTAGTAATCTGATGAATAACTTGAAACATCTGGAAACATCTGCAACAAAAATTAAATGTTAACATAGACTAGTCATCAAAAATTCAAGAAATTCAAGAAAATTCAAGAAAATACACTCAATTAAATAGATTCTAGAGTAGAACTATAGCACTGTCCTCCCATTGTCCATCAATTTGCTTGAGAGGGCACCAGTAACATCTCCATTGTGAGACTTGTTGTTACTGTTTTTGGCATATTGAATACATCATGGGTAGCTTGCCAGGCTCTGCTGTGTGGACAGGATACTCTTGGTAGCTTGCCAGGCTACCCGAGAGGGACAGAGAATTGAACCCAGATCAGCTGTGCGCAAGGCAAACACCCTACCCACTGTACTATCACTCCAGCCCAGATTCTAGAGTAACAGTAATTATATATTTACAAAAAATAAGATACACTTAACTAAGAGAAAACACTGCAGATGATCTCTTCAAATTTCATAGCTCTTAAAAAAAATCAAATGACTACAAAAGAAACTACTATGATGATAATATTAGAAAGATTAGATTTGTGAGTGAAGGGGTTGAGCCACAACTGATGATTCTCAGGGGATATTTCTGGCTCTGTGCTCAGGAGTAAGTCCTGGAGATGTTTGGGGGCTGTTATGTGATGCCCAGGATTGAATCAGACTCAGAGGCAAGTGTCATACCTCCTGTATCTTAGAATTTTTTTTTTTTTTGCTTTTTGGGTCACTCCCAGCGATGCACAGGGGTTACTCCTGGCGGTGCTTAGGGGACCATATGGGATGCTGGGAATTGAACCTGGGTCGACTGTGTTCAAGGCAAATGTCCTACCTGCTGTACTATCATTCCAGCCCCTAGTCCTAGATATTTTTAAGTGGAGAATAATTGTTTCCCCCACTCCACCTATCTTCTGGTAGCAGCAGTCAGTAGGGAAAAATGAGCATATATATATATATATTTTTTTTTAATTTTCATCTACATGAGCTTCTTGATTTATTGCCCACACTTAAAGAAAGCTGTCCCACTGTATCAGTCGGCTGCCAATTTGGAAAGTCCTACAATCAAGGCAAAAGCAGGAAAAACTAAGTGGGGGAGATTCTGTCCTGTAGTAGAGAGAACTAAAATTGTATGTCATTACATGCTCTGTCACTCATCAGTTATAACTAGTATTAAGGTCCTATGTGAAGTTTAATCTCACTCCTGATACCTAAGTTTTTAAATCTGTAAAATGGAAAGATAGTGCCTTCTTTATCTCCTGCCTTTGTTTCCACATCACTGAGATTGCTGAAGCCTACTTTATTTCTTTTCTTTGTTTTTTTTTAAATTTTTATTAGTGAAACACCATGAGGTACAGTTGTAGACTTACAAATTTTTGTGCTTGGTTTCAGTTATACAATGATCGAGTACCCATTCCTCCACCAGTGCCCATCCTCCACCACCACTGATCCCGAGCACACTTATATTTTTGAGTAGTCTAAAAGAATATTCTTTTATAGGGCTGGAGCAAGGGTAATACACAGGTTAAAGCACATGCCCTTCATGTGGCTGACCCCACTTTGCTCCCCAGCACCACATGGTTCCCCATGCATCACTGGGTTCAATCTTGGAGACCCCTCGCATTGCTGGGTTGGTCCAAGTAATTTCACACACCATAAGGCCTGAGCTGCAAAACTTTCTCAGTCAGGCCCCTGCAGTGAATTATTGGCCTGGTTGACTGAGAATACCAGGAGAGACCCCACCCCAAGCCTAACCCCACCCACAAAGAGTATTCAATATAGTATAATTTCTAAAACAATACAAATCTCTAAAAATACTGTTAATAGCTAGAAAAACACTGTGTCAAGTTATAGTCTCCATGCCCAAAGGCTACCCCATAACTTTAACTTCCAGAATCTGAAATTTTATTATACTTGTTACAATCTCAAAATAGTCATAGGAAACTAAAATTCATAATGTCCCCCAAACTCACTCATATAAAGTTCTTTTCTTTCTCTTGTCAATCATAGTCATGTGATTCTGGATTTTAAGATCTGGCTTCTTAGCTATTAATTTCTTCATGGTATTAGAACTAATGGATCCATTCAAGTGGGCATGAAGTTCCTAAAACAAAACAATACAATCAGTAAAAACATATCAGGGATCTACTGAATTTACAGTACCATATTAACTAAGAGATATTTGTAGTTAGAAGAAAAAATTTCCTATTAGATTTAGCTATATAAGTATCATTTATTTATTTATTTTTTTCCTTTTCTTTCTTTCTTTCTTTCTTTATTTATTTATTTATTGAATCACTGTGGGAAAGGTTACAAAGCTTTCAGGTTTATGTCTCAGTCATGCAAATATCAAACACATTTCCCTTTACCAATACTTATTTTTTACCATGAAGAACCCCAATAAAACCCCACCCCCCACCCCTCCCCGTCCCTGTGAGGCAGATGAATTCTAGTTAACACTCTATCTGCTTTGATTAGATTCATTGTTTCAATAAAAGATTCACCACTATTATTTAGAGTTTACCCCCCCCCCCCAAATCAGACATGCTGAAAAAGCATTGTGAAGTGATTTGCTTTCTACAGCTGGGTTCAAGAATGTTGGTTTTGGATTTCTGCTATTTTACCTATTGACCCTGGAAGTATTTCTACTGAAAGTCAGATAGTTAAGAAATTGGTTTCTGTGTTCTGGAGTCGTGGCCGTGCTGGAGAGCCGCTCGCGGGGGGCAACCGGTGGCCTTGGTAGGGCGTGAAGGGCGGAGCGAAACGCCCCCCTTCCCATGAGGTTTTAGTCGTCCCCACACTCACGGCTCATACCTGCTGTCCACAAGGCTCCCATGTGGCCGCCATCTTTCTTTCCAGAGGGAGGAGGGCGGAAGGGAGCAACACCCTTTCCCCTCTGGGCAGAAATGATTGCCTGGATTAACGCATAGTCCTTTCACTTTTCTGCTCCAAGCTGCTGGGTTCTGCATTAGGTCATTGTGCTTCTGGGGCTGTGGCCGTGCTGGAGAGCCGCTCGTGGGGGCAACTGGTGGCCTCGGTAGGGCGTGAAGGGCGGACCGAAACGCCCCCCTTCCCATGAGGTTTTAGTCGCCCCCACACTCCCGGCTCATACCTGCTGTCCACAAGGCTCCCATGTGGCCGCCATCTTTCTTTCCAGAGAGGAGAGGGCGAATGGGGCAACACCCTTTCCCCTCCGGCAGACTTGATGGGCTGGATCAACGCATAGTCCGTTCACTTTTCTGCTCCAAGCTGCTGGGTTCTGCATTAAGTCCTTGTGCTTCTGGGGCCATGGCCGTGCTGGAGAGCCGCTTGCGGGGGGCGACTGGTGACCTCGGTAGGGCGTGAAGGACGCATTTATTTATTTTTTGAGGGCCACACCTGGCTCTGCATCTAGAAATTACTCCCGGCAATGCTCGAGGGACCACACAGGATACTGGGGATCAAATATGGGTTGGCTGCATGCAAGGCAAGCACCCTACCTCCTCAACTACCTATCCAACCCCCATAACTTTTCATGTACAAATCTTATCTATAATATTTTACTTTTGTAAAGAGAAAAAAACACAGAAGTCATTATAATGAGCAACCATTCCAGAATTATGTGATAAATTCTCACCACTTTAGGTAATTCTGTGTAAAATGTTGTGTTCGAGGGCTGTTGTTCTTCTGTTTCCATCATCATTTTGTTGAAATAAAGTCTCTCAAAACACTCTAATTTTTGGTATGGAAAATATGATGTTTTTCAATCTGAAGTTTTGTGGTCATAAATTCTTTCAGATCACTTCACCTCCACCTGTTTTGATAAGATTAGTTGTAGTTCTGAGTTCAATTTCACCTATTCAAATAAATGTGAACATTTTCAGATGTTGATATAAAAGTAAAGAAGAAACTTTTGCCAATTTATTCCTCAAAAAAGAAAATTCCTTCCAGAGTTAACTTAAGTGAGTTGACAATTTGAAAAAGAACTAGGAAAAGGGCTCAAGCTGAGAAAAGATGAATTAAAATCCAATATTTTTAAGGGTATCTTACCTTTTAGCATTTTCTATACAGATATATAGATATATATTAGACTTGTCTATAAATTTCCATAAATCAAGAATTTAATAAGACTTACTTGAGGTTTTCATTTTAAAAAGTTATATTTCTTGAATTGCTTGAAATATATAAAGGAAGAGTAAAGATATCTGGGCCTACCAGATATATGGCAAAAAATATTAGTAAGGAAAAAAAATGGACACATTTTATTTGTTCCATCTGTTCAAAACAAAATCCATGGGGGCTGGATAGTACAGCAGGTAAGGTGCTTGTTTTTGGACGACCCAAGTTCTATCCCTGGCACTTCTGAATACAGAGCCAGAAGTAAGTACTGAGTACTACCAGTTATGGTCTAAGAACAACAACGGAGAACTTTCCCCCCACCGAAATCAAAACCAAAATACAACCCAGAAAAACTTAAGCTACTCCTGAGTATTTCAAATTGCCTTATGGACCACTTGAAGTCAGTTACCCCAATCTCACGGATATAAATTTATTTTAGTAACAGTTTGTATGTTTCCTCACCAGACTGAGGCTCTTCCCTGTAAACAGAAAAGTACCTCTTTTGTAGTCAAAGTCCTTTTGGAAAAGATTAGATTTTGTTTGGCTTTTGGGCCACACCTGGCAATGCTCAAGAATTATTCCTGGTTCAGAGTAATTCAGAGATCATTCCTGGCGGTGCTCAGAGGACCATATGAGAACCCAGGGATTGAACCTGGGTCAGCCATGTGCAAGGCAAGTGTACTTACCAGCTGTACTTTCTCCTGCCTTGTACTTTTTACTTAGCTGGGGATCTTTCGAACTTTATAATGATTGAGGAAGCCATTTTATTGGACAGCTGCTCCAACGTGTTTATGTTGTCTGCCAGTTCTTTCTTTTTTGTTAAAACATTTTCATAGTATTGGGGCTGGAGTGACAGTAGAACAGATAGGGCTCCTGCCTTGCACATAGCCAACCCAAGTTTGATCCCCAGCACCACATATGGTCCCCTGAGGCCTACCAGGAGTGATTCCTGAGTGCAGAGCCTGGCGTAAGCCCTGAGCACCACTGGGCATAGCTTCAAAACAGAACAAAAACACAAAAAAAAACATTTTTACTGTGCCTACCACTTTCTTTTCTTTTTGCTTTATGGGTCACACCAGCGATGCTCAGGGATTACTCCTAGCTCTGCACTCAGGAATTACTCCTAGTGGTACTTGGGGGACCATATGGGATGCTGGGGATTGAACTCTCGTGTCGGCTGCATACAAGGCAAACGCCCTTCCTGCTGTACTATTGCTCCAGCCCTGCCTACCATTTTCAACTTCTTGGAGTCAACAGCCCTAACTCCCATGTTCATTAGATTTTGCTTGGTTTTTGTTGAAATGTGAACCATAATTCAGTGTGTAAAATGAAGGAGCCTAACTGATCAAAAATAACGATATTTGGGGATTGGGAGGATGGGAAAAAAAAAAGAAAGAAAACATGCTCCGGTTGAGCAGTCCTTTTACAGAGCACTCTGGGGAAGGCCTTAAGCAACACATCCTACAATCTGTTAGACGAGACAACTCCAAAAAAATTCTCTTCAGCCTCTCTGCAAATTGACCCCATCAAGTACTGTGGCTAAGTCCTTGCATAGCCAAACTTCAGGAAAGAGACTTAGGTGTCCAATTTATGTTTGACACTTCTGAAGAAAGTACCATATTCTGGCTGATGTGCACATCACCTGAACCTGAATTTAGTATTTCCAGGAAAACAAAGGAAGTTAGTACCTAAGAAATTGGTTTTCTCATTTGATCATTGTATGATTGAAATCCAAGCACAAAAATTTGTAAGTCTACAACTGTACCTCATGTCTCACTAATTAAAAAAAAAAAAAAGAAATTGGCTTTCTCAAAATGATCAAACAGGCCTGTAAATGGTTTTCTCATTGCTGTTTATTGCCTCGTGTTTTTCTTACTCCTTTCCACAAACATCTTCTAATCTATTACAAATGGGGAAATCTTTCTAACTGAATCCTCAACCTTCTGGAGCTAACCAAATCCCACAGTCAAAACAGTTTCAACTCAGCATTCGCACTTAACTCACAGGCTAAAATGGTTTTGAATAGCCACACAGTTCTTGATAATTTCTTTGCTAAACAAGGCAAGGAGGTATCTATGTAATAGTGATATCTGTATGAGAGCAATATTACCTGTCAAATGCCCCTGGAAAGGTATAAATTACATAAAATTAAGAAACAAGTATATTGGTTTAAGAAAATGTAACAAATAAGCCTTGGTTTATTGATTTGTTTAGCCAAGTGTTTTTTTTCCCTTCAGTTATAGTTTCTGGTTTAGCACCATCATACATTGGACTTGTAACATTTAATTATTCTCTGTATGCTTAAATCCTCTACCTCCTGTCTATAAAACTAATAAGGTGACGATAATCAGCACTTCAAGAAATTCACTTCAAGAGGTTCAACTCACTTTTCTATTGCTCACTTCTCCCTCTCCACTGACTAATTCCTGTTGGGTGACCAATATGTATGTATAGTATTAACTTCTACCTGAAAAAGCATTCTTTTAGCTACTGCCCCAATCTCTCCTTTCCTTCTGAACTGGGTTCCTTGAAAGCACTAATTTAGTTATCTCCATTTCCTTATCCCTTCCCTTATCCACTGAAACATGGATTTAGCGCTTATATCACAAGATCACAAGCATCCTGTTGTTTGTCGATTTCCTCGAGCAGGCACCAGTAACGTCTCCTTCTTCCTAGCACTGAGATTTTAAAAGAGTCATTTCAATGCTCTTTCAGGATTAGGAGAATGAAACCCATCATTGTTACTGGTATTTGGCATATTGAGTACGACACGGGAAGTTTGCCAGACTCTGCTGTGCGGGCAGGATACTTTTGGTAGCCTGCCAGGTTCTCCAAAGGAAAAAATAAGATAATAAGATGTCGTGTGGCCACAAATGCGGCCACGTACTTCCGGGAGCTGGATTTTATAGTCTCTGTGTCTTGGCCGTTGATGGGACCAACCTGGCGCTGGCAGCAGCTGGTGGGTATGACACCTACCTACCGGAAGATGGGGCGTCTGGTTGGAGAAGGCCCAGTCCCAATCCGAGTAAGCTTGGAGACCTCAGTCCCGGGACCCGCATGCCTGGGTTCCTCTGCCAGTTCTTTCATGCATGAGGCCCGTCCGGACATGTGGAGAGTGGTCCCAGCATGGCCGTGGCTGGCTTCGGAGGTCCTCAGCTGCTGGGGCTCTGCTGGGGGGGGGGGGGAGAACTCAACCCTCCCCCCTCCAAGGGGCCCCGGTGAGGATAACCAGGCGCAGGGGCAGGAGACTCTAGCGCTTATAGCACCATAAAAATTACCTTTGCTATAACAAGCTCTAAAACATCCTATTGAAGGGGCACTGCTCACCCAACAAACCTTTATCCTACCTCAAACCTTGCAGCAATTGAGATGATTCAAGTCCAAACTAGCACTAGCTGGTCTCCAAAGCTCCTACTGGTAACTACCATGCTATACCGCCTCCCCGAAACCATACTCAGTCAGTCATCTGGTTTCCATTTCAGCACGTACAGCCACCACATCCCACCATGCCTAAAGTCTCCTTAATAGCTCTGGAAGCAAGAGATTCCCACGCATCCAATTTTGAAAGGCAGTGGGCATGTTAAGCCCCCAATAAGAACCTCCGTGGGAATAATCCTCTTCAATGATCCCCTCTCAAGTGGACCCTGGGCACGAACTCTAAAGGGGGCTTAGAGGGCGAAATTAGGGCTGAGAAACAGTGGCAGCTGCTTTACCTCCAGTCCGCTTGACCCCACCTGAAATGTGGGGACTCAGTAATACCTATCTATGAGAAAATGCCTGTGTCAGGTGCAACGAGGGCTCTGTCAAGTTTCTTTCCTTTCTTCCTTTCATGGGGACTTGGTTTCTGATTGATTTTGTTTTCACATCAATTTTCCTAACGACAAATACATTAAATAAGTACCAGGAGCCAGCCACAAAGGAACAACCCCTTCGCTGCTCCATCCAGGGTCTTAATCCTTCCAGAACTCAACGCGTATCTTGCCATCCAGTACTAGTGGCCAATCCCCCTCACTCACCTCTTCAATTTATTTTGTCAACAACAGACTCCAAGGCACGTTTTCCCCTTTAGGAGGGCTGTGGAAGAGTGACCGCCTCTGCAAAAAGACGCGAAGCCGGAAAAGCAGAGTCAAGACAGGAGCTGTGGAACTTGGACACAAGGTACAGCGTCCTCCCCGCCGATTGGCCAGGCGCGCTCAGCCGGAAGCGACGCACCCCGGCCCGCGGAAGACGCGTCCGGGGACGTTTGTTTCTCCCGCCAGCCTCTAAGGTGGCGAGTAGATCCCGGCACCCAGCTCACCACCTTGGAGGAGCCACTTCGCTCGGTCCCTCCTCGCCATGGGCCCACGGGGCCGCGGGCATCGCGCCGGGGCGGTCCAGAGCACCAACGACAGCAGCGCCCTGAGCAAGCGCTCCCTGGCCGCGCGCGGGTACGTGCTCGACGCCTTCGCCGCGTTGCTGGTTCCGGGTTCGGCGCGCCGCGCGCCGCTAATCCACCGCGGGTACTACGCGCGCGCGCGCGCCGTGCAGCACTGTGTGCGCGCCTTCCTGGCGCGGACGAGCGCGGGCCCCGGCGCCCAGATCCTCTCGCTGGGAGCCGGCTCGGACTCGCTGTACTTTCGCCTCAAAACCGCGGGACTTCTCGCCGGGGCGGCCGTCTGGGAGGTCGATTTTCCGGAAGTGGCGCGGCGCAAAGCGGACCGGATTCGAGAGGTGCCGGAACTGTGCGCGCTCACCGGACCTCACCGATGCCCGGACCCTCCGTCTGCCTTGTGTTTTGAGACCTCGGACTACCGCATCCTGGGCCTGGACCTGCGGCAACTGCAGCAGTTGGACCAGACCCTGACCGAAGCGGGCCTAGACGCCGCCGCGCCCACTCTGCTCCTGGCCGAAGCGGTGCTGACCTACCTCGAACCCAACAGCGCCGCGGCTCTCATCGCCTGGGCAGCCCACCGTTTTCCAGATGCCCTTTTCGTGGTGTATGAGCAGATGAAGCCTCATGACGCCTTTGGCCAGGTCATGCAGCAACATTTTCGCCAGCTAAATTCTCCCTTGCATGGCCTTGACCGCTTTCCTGACGTGAAGGCCCAACAGCACCGCTTCCTGCAAGCTGGCTGGAGCAGCTGCACCGTCATGGACTTGAACGAATTCTATCGCTGCTTTCTCCCCACTGAAGAACGCCGGCGCGTGGAAAGTCTCGAGCCGTTTGATGAGTTTGAAGAGTGGCATCTGAAGTGCTCCCACTATTTCATTCTGGCTGCTTCTCAGGGAGACGCTCTTTCCCGAACTGTGGTGTTTCCACCCTCTGTGGCTTTTACGCTGGTAGATCCTGCTCTTCCTTCAGGGGTCTTCCCGGCCAGTTTTGTCACCAGTGAGTGCCAGGGCCCAGACCTTAAGAGATACGGTCATGCCTCGGTGCTTTTGAACCAGGACACCATTCTTAGCGCAGGAGGATTTGGAGAGCAGGAGGGGCGGCACTGCCGAGTTAGCAAGTTTCACTTGCTGTCGAGATACTGTAACTTGGAATGGAAAGGCAACCACATCGGCTCTAGTGGGTCTAGGGCCCAGTGGGATGGACGCCTATATCACACCATGACAAGACTTTCAGAAACTCATGTTCTCGTTCTGGGAGGGAGACTGTCCCCAGTAACTCCAGCCTTGGATAGTCTCCACCTTCATTTTGGCAAGAGTGAAGATAATCATGCCTTGGACCTAGATGTCACCATAACAAAGGCTGGCCCAGAAGAAGATTCCACTTTGTCATGTTGGCGACACTCAGCAACGGAAGTGTCCTACCAGGATGAGAAATATTTGTTTGTATATGGGGGGCGAAGTGTGGTGGAACCTGTATTAAGTGACTGGCGTTTCCTGCATGTGGGGACAGTGGCGTGGGTCAAGATCCCAGTGGAGGGGGAAGTCCCCAAAGGCCGGCATTCCCACAGTGCCTGCAGTTGGCAAGGGGGAGCCCTTATTGCTGGGGGGCTGGGTGCTTCCGAGGAGCCACTGAACTCAATATTCTTTCTGAAACCGGTCTCTTGTGGATTCCTCTGGGAGTCAGTAGTCATCCAGCCTCCCATTACCCCAAGGTACTCCCACACAGCCCATGTGCTCAATGGGAAACTTTTACTGGTTGGAGGAGTCTGCATTCATTCTGCCTCAGTTCCTGGAGTGACTGTTATCAATTTGAGTACAGGATTGAGCTCTGAGTATCATATTGACACAACATGTGTGCCTTGGCCGTTAATGTTACACAACCATACCAGCATCCTCCTTCCTGAAGAACAAGAGATCCTACTCCTTGGAGGTGGTGGGAACTGCTTTTCCTTTGGCACTTACTTCAACCCCCATATAGTGTCATTAGATATTTCTTCCTTAAATGCTGGACAGTAAGGGCTGGACTTAAGTAGACAATAAAGTTTTTGCACAAATAGAATTTGAAATTGGTCTACAGATGCTACCTGCCACTCTCCATATCCCTTTTCTTTTTTCTTTTTATTACCACGAGTGCAAAAGAAAAGGATTGTTAAAATACATATTGACTGAGATGGTAGCCCCCCTTCCCCCCAAAAAAAAAAATCAACAATTGGGCCTGTTTAAAGAAAATGGTTGTACAGAGATCATGGGGCAGGAGCAATAGCACAGCGGGTAGGATGTTTACCTTGCACACGGCCGACCCATATTCAATTCCTCTCTCCCTTTCGGAGAGCCCGGCAAGCTACCGAGAGTATCCTGCCCACACGGCAGAGCCTGGCAAACTCCCTGTGGCGTATTCGATATGCCAAAAAGAGTAACAACAAGTTTCACAATGGAGACGTTACTGGTGCCCGAACGAGCAAATTGATGAACGATGGGAGGACAGTGCTACAGAGATCATACAGGGACCTTTAGATTACATGTATTAATGATTTCTTCCTCACATTTTCTAATCTAAGTTTATTCATTTATTGAGCCGTTAAGTCATGTGAAAAAAATCCCACTTCTGGTGCTGGACAGATGGGGGGGGGGGGGAAGGGGAGGACTTTGCATGTGGCTAAATTGACTTTGATCCCTGGCACCACATATAGTACCCTGAGCCTGCCAAGAGTAAGCACTGAGCACAGTGTGACTCAAAAAAAAAAAAAAAAAAAAAAAAAAACCTAAATTCCCAGTAATGTGCCAAAGCACATTTGATTTGAGATGATACCTTGGGAAATGTTTCAGATAGATCTTTTTGATCTCCATAGGTATTATAAGGTTGACTGCAGTTTCGCAGTCATAGTTTTGCAGACATAGTTTTGACCTCATTATTTGGGTGCAAAAGAAATGACTATCCTTAATGACTGGGTCTGAAACTACACCCAGTTGCAGTTTAATTACAACATTGTGCACTTTGGTACAGCAGAGAACTCTAGGATAGCTATAACAAGACACATGTGAGAGACTTTAGTGAGAAAGATGCTTTCTGCTATTGGCGGGGGGTGGAGGGCGGTCATTGGTCCTATGTTTATTTGGATTTATGTTGATAAATACTTGATGTTTCAACTTATTATGTGTGTGGTGTAATGTATTGATCCAGGGCCAAGAATATAGGTCAGCAGTGAACCACTTGCCTTGTATGTGTAAGGGTTCAATTCCTTGCACTGAAAAATAGTAATAAAAAAAAAGTTTGGGCCAGGGAGGTAATATAGTAGATAGGGCATTTGCCTTGTATACAGCCAACCCAGGTCTGATCTCCAGCATCCCCCATGGTCTCCCAAGTGCACCAGAGTAATTCCTAGTGCAGAGCCAGGAGTAAGCCCTGAGTATTGCCATAACTTTTATGTTCTCTCTTACAACACATACCTCTAATTTTACATCATCCAAGTTCTAGTAATTGTCTTTTCCTACTTTTTCAGGCCTCAGAGTTGTAAAGGCTCTATACAGTATCTAAGCATCAATGTTTAATATAGTAACTATTAACTACATGTGGCTTCTTGAGTTTAATTGAGATTTTTAAAAATTGAAAGTTATTGGCTTAGTTGCACTAATCACATTTTAAATAACCACATATATTTATCTACAGTGTAGATGTAGAACATTTCCATTATTGCAGAATGAGCTAGTGAAGCTACTTCAAGAAGGGACTTCACTATCTTGACTGGGTTTCTTAGTCTTGCCCACTCACTTTTGGTATCTTTACTTTTCACCTCAATGCCCTTTGAGTGGACCATCTTTCCTAGTATGACTTCTGAGGTATTTATCCTTAATGACTAGCCTTCTGAGCCTTCATTTTTTATAAAATTGTGTATACTTTGCAAATTTCATATCTTATGAGACAGTGGATTTTGGTGTTACTCTATGTACCTCTTTAGTATGTTTTACTACTATTCAATTTTTGAAATTTTGGTAATAACGTGATATTCTATAAATACTTAAATTCTATTTGGATTTTGCAAAATATACACAACTGTTGCTTAACCAGCTTCCCTGGAACTTTGCAAAAGTTCTAGGAAAGTGATTAGTTACAATCATGAGTGAGTCCTGGTAAACAAAGGGCTTAAAACGCACACCTTGGCATCTGGCAAGGCTATTGTTGGGCCAGGTAGTAGATAGATGACAAACTTATGATCAGAAGTGGAAAATACTCCTCTGTGTCCTTGTTCCAAGTTTACCACAGCTTATCTCTGACTTTCAAGAGCAGATAGAACAGTGCTGAAATGAGTGTGCTCATCTAATAGTGTACCTAATTTCCAACTATGTCTTCTATCGTGCTATTTCCTACCTGATGCCGTCAACTATTGCTATTTCACTATGTAGGGGTGGGGGACAACATGGCTGGAGGGGAGATCAAGAGAATGTGGATATTAGTAGCCGTGATGCCTTTCAAGCACTGCCCAGTTTGGTACATTATGAGTAATTGGGTTTATTCTCCCCAGAGAAGCTAACCACATTTTCTGTGATTACCAGATTAAGCATGTCCTCCACCTCTAACTCCATACATGCATCATACTCAGTTAAAGAATTATTTATGTCTCAACCTTTACTCATTAGAGGTCTTAGAAGTTTTGTCAGCAACATTTACTCTGTCTTTGGTATGAGTTGGTGCTGGATTCCAGTTTCAAAACAGTAATCTGCAGCAGTTAGAAATGT